GATTACTGTCTTATGTAATATAAAAAGTTAGTTACTTTAGGTTTCTGTCTGATGAATGCCCTCTAGTATTTTTATTGGTTCATTTCAGTTCCATTTAATTTTTACCTTTATTTTGACCTTGTTGAGCCATAGTAGATTCAAAAGCTTTTTTCCTGCAGTTATATCTCTTAAATGTGATTGTAATATATTCTATCTAACTCATCCTAAAACACTTATTTTTGTCAAAGTTCTTTATAAACCATTAAAAGTTGTATACAAAAGTGAAGGTGCCACAGGAACTCATTGAGTAGGGAGTTGACATGTTCAAGACCTCTGTTTATAAAAATCAGTTTGGCAGCTGAGTAAAGCATAGATTGTAATGGGGAGAGATTCAGGGAGACCAGTTAGAAAGCTATTGCAGTAATACAAAGAGCCTGAAGTAGGGTGGTGGCTATGTGAGTGAAAGGAAGCAGACTGGCTGGTATGAGAGATGTTGTGAAGGTAGAAATGACAAAATCCATGGATTGAATATATGGGAGTGAGAGTTAGGAGTCAAGGATATTTTTTTTAAAGTAAGATTTTGAGCCTCATTGTTTGGGAGGATAGTATTGTCCTCAACAATAAGGACACTTGGAAAGGGAAGGATGGTCTTGGAAGGGGAAGATAATTTTTAAGATGCACAAGAATAATTTAGAGATGTGTAACTCTGTCTCAGCAGAGTTACAGTCAGTACAGTCTGGCAACCATCTGCATAGAGATGAGAACCCATAGGAGCTGATGAGATCAGCAAAGCGAATGCCAAAAGTATTAATACTTTACTCTGCATTTTAGGCACAAGTCTACCAGAAACAATCTTGATTCATTAAACATTAATCTAAATTCAAGCATTGATCTGGTTGAGAAAGATGCCTTTGGACATGCCATAAGACATTTGGTTTCGTTTGTTTTAGTAAATAGCATTTTATTTTTTCCGATCACATATAAAAATAGTTTTCAGCATTAATTTTTTATAAGATTTTAAGTCAAATTTTTCCTCCCTCTTTCCCTCCCATGTCCCCTCCCCAACATGGGGATCTATTTTATTTATATATATATTTTATATAATCTATTGCAGGTTATACATGTGCAATTGACATAAGACTATTTGAAGTAACATAGGAATCTTGAACAACTTAAAAGGTTACAATATATAAATATAATTTTGAGTTAACATTCTACCCTATCAAATAGAATTGTAGTCACCTAATCCCCTCAAACTAGTATCTTCTCTGACCACTCCCCTCCTCTGATCAATACAATAATCCCTTCAGAATGGGGAAAGAGTTACTGTACTTAGGTGAATCATAACTCTTAATCCCTTCAGGAATTGGAGGAAGCAATGATTTTAACTGGACCCCAGAGACTTTTCTTTCTCTAAATTTGGTTAACACCTTTAATCCATTTTCCCAGGCCTTAGCTTTCGTTCTTGTCCTTTTTACACACTTTTCCTAAAGAGAAATCTGGAAAGGATTTCAGACTAAAGAAATAGTTCTTAATACTTTAATTTTTTTTTGGAGGGGGAGGGTGGTAGGCAAAGGGGATAAGTTACTTGCCCAGAGTCACACAGCTAGTGAGTGTTATGTATCTGAGGCCAGATTTGAACTCAGGTCCTCCTGACTGCAGGGCCAGTGTTCTATCCACTGAGCCACCTATCTGCCCCCAGTACTTTCATTTGAATGGAAAAAAGTTTTAGTATGCTTTCACAGATAGTACAGTGGGAAAAGAGAAGGAATCCAGGACAAACATAGCCTTTGAAAATTCTTAGGCCAAGAGGACTTGATGTATTGAAGAACTAACAAGGAAATTAAGAAGGTGCTATAGTACATATAGTAGGAAGACCAGAGGAGAGCAGTGTCATGAAAAGCTAAAGGGGACTTTCTATGTCAAGTCAGTTGCTAAGTCCTGCCGATTCTACTTCCACAACATCTCATTTCCATTCCATTCTCTCCACTCACACTGCAGTCACCCTAGTTCAGGCCCTGTCTACCCATGAACAATTAATATCTCTCCAATTACTTAAATCTGATTTTATTTGTGTAAAAATTTATTTGTATAGAAGGTTTTTTATAATTTTGTATGTGTGTGTAGTTGTTTTTAAAAAATCAGATATATTTCTCATTTTAAAGCTTTCATGGTCATGTCTTTCACTCCTTAGAGTTAAGTAATGCAGGTGTTAATTTACCTGTATTTTACAGGAAACTGAGATTTAGAGATTTTAAGTAGCTTGCCCAGAGTCACACAGCTAATGTGTCAGAATTGAGATTCAGTGCTTCTTTCTACTATACCAAGCTACTTTTTATCTACTTAAAAGTTATAAAACCTGATCTACATTTTTGTTTAATCTTTATTTTTTATCTGTCATTTATAGGCAGGGCAAATACAGGCAAAAAATAGTTCAAGTGAAAAACATGTCAGGACATTAGTTGTCTAGTGTTACTAGTCAGTCAATAAACATTTATTTAATGCCTACTGTGTACTAGGCACTGTGTGCTAAATGCTGGGTTACAAAGAAAGGCAAAAGACAGTTGCTGCCCTGAAGAAGTGCACAATCTAAAGGGGGAAGATAACACATGAAAAGTAACTGTAAAAGGGAGCATGGTGAAGACCTACGGCTGGCTGAGATGTCTGCCCTAGGCACCCTCTTTAAATGGAAGATCTTATTGAGAGGAGCTCTCCAATAATCACCCTCCACTTCTGTCAGAGTGGAAGAGGGGCGTCAGGGGCAGGAGAGTTCTAAGGATGGGTGAGTGTCAGAATTGATGTGGTCTTGCAGGGAAATGAGTTTCCAGAGACAGTGGTGAAGTCCAAGAGAGCAGTCTACTACTACAAGCTCAGTTGTGGGTTAGACCTAACGTGTAGTTATTAGGATGAATTATTAAGAGATTAGTGGCCAGAGTAAAAGCTCTCTGTATTTTATTTACCCTGTTTAGGCCATATCTAAAGAATTATGTCCTGTTGGTCCCACATTTTATGTGGAATATTGGTGGGCTAAGGGAAGGTGACAAGATGCTAACTACAAACAATGTCATCACTTACATTTATTTAACACTTTAAAGTTTTCTAAGTATTTTGGCGTTTAAAGCCTCTCATAATCTGGCCCTCTGAGATTCTTAGTCTAGTCTTAGTCTTCTTATGCTATATTTCCCTCCACATATTCTATAATCCAGTGATACTAGTTTCCTTGCTATTCCTCGAACAAGACACTCCAATCATCTCTGAAATGTGCACTTTGAGCATTTTCGCTGGTGCTTTCCATTGCCTAGAACCTTTCCTCCTCATCTTATCTTCCCACTTTCCCTGATTTCCTTCAAGTCTCAGCTAAAGTCTGACCTTATACAAGAGACCTTTTCCAGTCCTACTTAATCTTAGTGTTTTCTGCAAAAGGAAAAGGACCTATATGTTAAAAAAAATTTATAGTAGCTCTTTTTGTGGTGGCAAAGAATTGGAAATTGAGAGGATGCCCATCAGTTGGGGAATGGCTGAAGAAGTTGTGCTGTATGATTGTGATGAAATACTATTGTGCTATAAGAAAGGATGAAATGACAAAAATGTTTTCAGAAAAACCTTTGGAAAAGGTTTGAAAAAAACTTTTCTTTCAGAAAAAAGAACTGATGCAAAGTGAAATGAGCAGAACTAGAAAAACGTAGTATACAGTAACAGCAATATTATATGTTGATCAACTGTGAATGACTTAGTTTTTCTGATCAATAGTGAATGCTCCAAGGCAATTCTGAAGGACTTAAGATGAAAAATGCTATCCAACTCCAGAGAGAGAACTGATAATAGTCTGCATGTATTTGAAGCATATTTTTTCACTTCATTTTTCTTGCTTTTTTTTCCCCAAGATGGCTAACATGGAAATGTTTTTGCATGACTTCATATATATAATCATTGTATTGCTTGCCTTCTCAATGCATGGGGGAGGGATGGAGGCAGGAGGGAGGAAGAGAATTTGTAAGTCAAATTTTAAAAATGAATGTTAAAAATAAATATTAAATGGGGGAGCATAAAAAAAATTTAGTTCCCTCTGACACTCCCGTTTATCCTGGGTATAATATCTTGTTTGTTTATATGTAGTTGTTTCCATGTTATCCCTCCTGTTAGACCCTGGGCTCCTTGAGAGCAGGGTCTGTATTTTGCCTGTCTTTGTAGCCACAGTGCCTAGCATACAGAAGGCTCTTAATAACTGCTTATTGACTTTGACAACCATCCTCTAGGATAGGTAGTGTGAAAAAGTACTATTAGCCCTATTTTATGGGTGGAGGAACTGAGGTTCAGTGACCTCTCCTGGCGTCTCCTAACTCCCACCTAGTTCAAGTTTTTGCTGCCTGACCCAACCAGGAGGGTTGAATTTGTGTCCTTTTTACTAACAGTATCTTCCAGTCTTTCTCCACTGAATGAATGACCCCTCCTTAGGCAGCCTCATGCCTGCCTGTGTAAGCTCTGTCTCTCTTTCTCTTCCTTCCCTGTTCTGTTCCTCTCCATTTCTCTCCCCTCCTTCCCCATCTGTCTTCCTTCCTCCTTTCCTTCGCTCTCTGTCTCCCTTCCCCATCAGCTTTAGTCCTACTGCAGGTCAAAACCCTGGGAATTCAAATGTGTACTCCTGTGTCCAGGCCCACCATATAAATTGCAATACTATGGAAATAATAAAAAAAAAATCTTAGTGTTATCTTGAGCTCTTAGTTTCTTCTTGGTTTACATTGCTAGCTTTTGGCTAGGGCAAGGGAAGGGCTAAAGTATATTTGTAAGTAGGTGTATGGGATGTAGTTGGGCTAAAATGTTTCTTCATGGGAGAGGATGTCTCTGTCAAGCATGTTCCCAGCCATGGCCCATTCATGACAGGACACTGAGCACTGCTACGGCTGCTGTAGACAAGGAAGCCACCTGGATTTAACTCTTCTCATTTTGTGTGATTTAAAATGAAGGCAATGTGATAAAGGACCAAAGCATTAATACCTTATTTTCTTTTCTCTCTTACTCAGGCTGGAGTGAAAGGGACGTTGGGAAGATTGGTGGGCGTTTTTGAAGTAAGTCAATTAAATCTTTTAACTTCCTCTAAATTGTTGGGAAATTGATATAAACACTTCAATAGCTTGGATATGCTTTAAAAATTCTAGTGTGACAAAAACAGCTGGGAAGACTGGGAAAAGATCTGGCAGAAATTAGGGTTAGATCAAAACCTCATATCCTATACCAAAATAAACTCTAAATGAGTACACGACTTAGGGGTAAAAGGTTACATCGTAAAGAAATTAGAAGAGCAAGGAATGAAGGTACTTTTTTGGATCTGTGGGTAGGGAAAGAATTCATGACCAAACACAGGGTAGAGAGGTTCACAGAAGATAAAATGAACAAAATATCTAAAAGGTTTTGCACAAACAAACCAATGCAGCTAACATTAGAAGGGAAAGCAGGTAATGGAGTGGAGGTGGGGGGTGGCAAATCTTTGTAGCAAGTTTCTTATTTCTAAGATTATAAGGAACTGATTCAAATTTATAAGAGAGACCCATTCCCCAGTAGATGAATAGTCAAAGGATATAAACAAACAGTTTTCAAAGGAGAAATAAATCCAAACTATCAATAGCCATGTGGAAAAAATGCTCCAGATGCTGCTAATAATGAGAGAATCTGAGGTTTTACTTTACGTCCATCAAAATTGACCAAAAAAGGAAACTTAAAATGGTTGGAGGAACTGAACTGTGAACTGGTCCAGCCGTTCTGGAAAGCAATTTGGGAATAAATCCCCAAAGTCACTAAACTGTGTAGAACCTCTGACCCAGAAATATCATTGCTACGTAGGTATCTAATAAGTGACTTTGGAGCATGTTTTCATGTGGCTGTTGATGGCTTGTATCACTTTCTTAAAAAACTACCTCTTCATGTCCTTTGACTGTCTCTTGGGGAATTACTTTTGTCCTGTATGTATTTGAAAACTGTTCCTTATAAATCATCAGAGTTCTACTAGAGAAGGTTTTTTTCAAAGATATTTTCCCCAGGTTTACAGGAAATTTCCCTTCTAATTTGTTAACTCCATTGGTTTTGTTTGTATAAAAACTTTTAAAGTTTCTTTGTAATCGAAATTATTTATTTTATATTCTGTAACTCTCCTTGTTTGGTCATAAATTCTTCCCCTACCTGAAGTGATCTTTCCTACCTTGCTTTTCTTAATTTGTTTATAATGTTGCCTTTTACATATAGGTAATAATATCCATTTGGAATTTTATCTTCATTTATGATGTGAGATGTTAATATAAACCTGATTTCTGCCAGAATGCTTTGCAGTTTTCCCAACAGTTTTTATTGTCAGCTTTTAACCTAGTGCTTAGGGTCTTTGAGTTTATTGAACACTGTGCTGTAGTGTTCGTTTCCTTCTGGAGTAGCATTGTTACCCCCATTCAGATGTCATCTCTGTTGAAATATTTGATGTCTAGTAGAATTGATCAAGTGAGTAAAGCAGGGGCCAGGGAAAAATAGAGAACATATTCAATTAGCAAGCTTTTATTAATTACCTCCTATTTGCAAAACACTATGCTAGACCCAGGGGATACAAAGACAAGAAGATAATGGTCTCTGCCATCATGGAGTTTAAATTTACTGGGGACATGGAGGGAACAGGAAACATGTTACAAGTAAGTATTAATACATAATAGTTTGAGGAGAAAGAGAGACCATTTATAACTAAAGAAATTGAGTAAGTTTTTCAATAGATGGTCCCTGAGCTGAGCCTTGAAGAAAGCTCAGAATTCCAAGAGGCAGAAATGAGCAGGGGGGTTCATTGGAGGCAAGTGAGACAGCTAGTGCAGAGGCACAAAGTGGGAAAATGACGTGCCAGTTTGGGGACTAAAATAGCAGGTAGGCCAGTTTGAGAGACAGTGCATCCCAGAGCCAATGAAAGCACAGAATAATAGAATCTCATAGTTGGAAGAAGACTCGGGGCCATACCTGAACAAGAATAACCAACAAGTATTCTCCTATCCTTTGCTTGAACACCTCTAATGATCCAGGCATCCCTCTACCTTCCAAGGTGTAGTCCGTTCCATAACCTTTAACTAAGATCTGCATGATGTCCCAGTCATCATCCTAAGCACAGCCTGTCTTTCCTTAATGACGAAGAGGGAACAGATGGTGTTGAGGTGAATATTTGGTGAAGCTGGCCCAGAAAAAAATAAGGAATAAGAAAACAGCTGAGTGATGAAGTCTATAAGGAAAATATCCTTTAATGCACCCTCTTGGTCCACTGTCTCTGATCATTTTGGCACTGATCTCATTTTCTTAGTCTAGTATTTTATCTGATTTAATTTATGTAGTGGCTTTAGGAATTTTTGAAGTGGTAGTCCATGGAGAGGTATAGGGGGAAAAATGTGACCTTTTTTCCCAGGGTAGCTTAGCCAAATGACCTTACTTTATATTCAGTGAAATCTATTTTAAATAGACTCTATGGTTTTTAAGAAGATAAGAAAGTAAAGATGGGGCAGCTAGGTGGCGCAGTGGATAGAAAACCGGTCCTGAAGTCAGGAGGACCTGAGTTCAAATCCGACCTCAGAGCAAACACTTGACCTGTACTAGCTGTGTGACCCTGGGCAAGTCACTTAACCCCAATTGCCTCGCAAAGAAAAAAGAAAGTAAAGAAAGAATCCTTCTGTTCAAGTACCTTTAACAGAGGCATGTAAGTTTATTATTATTATCAGCCGTCTGATAGAAGATGTTCTCTGTTTATTTTCCCTTTCCTCTTCAGAACCAGGAAAGGAAGCACAGAACATATGTCTATGTGCTTATTGTCACAGAAGTGTTGGAAGACTGGGAGGACTCAGTCAATATTGGTGAGTTATCCATCCTGTTGGGTGTTTGGAGGTGATCCTGTAAGTAACACTGCACCAGGTGCCCCTTGTACTCTTACCTTAGTAGATGATACAATCTCAAAGGGTTCGTGAATTATTTATAGAAAAAATAGGAAAGTCTTTAAAAAGAAAAGGGGGGAGGGAGGAAGCCCTTTGAACTTGAGAATGAGAATTTTAGAATTTATGTTAAATAAACTAAAATTCCCTATCTCCTCAAAGCCTATCAATGAAAAACAGAAAACAGGAGGGTATATTGAATTTATTTCTAAAATCATCTTTTTTTCTGAAAGGAAGAAAAAGCCTGACTCAGTAATTAATGTTTGTATTGTTCAGCTTGTGCCAAACTGTTCTTATTTCTTTAGAAAACAAAACTGTTATCAGGGAGTTTGTATTGTAGCCCTCTTAGAATCATAAAATCATCTGTCTATGATGTAGAGAAGGGAGGTTTGGAAAGTGAAGAAATTGAGTCCTATGAAGATTAAATGACTTGGCCAAAGTCATACATAAGTAGTCAGTACCAGAATCAGGATTTGAGTCCCATTCCTCTGACTGCTCCAAATCCAGAATTCTTTATTGAGGAGTCACTTAATAGTCTTAGATTGATCCAGTGACTTCATTGTTCTGTCCATTCCAGCCTTTATTGTGGGGCCGGCTCTCTCCAGAAGAGCCACTTGATCTTTCGTAAATTGATGTTGTAAGTTCTTTTTACAAAGTCAGAATTCTGTGGGTAAGCAATTAACAGAGTTATCGATTTAATATCACTGGAAATAGGCACACTCAAGTGGAAGTGCCATCAGAAAAGCATTGCCAACTTTTCTGTTTTAAATCACATTTGTGTAATTTCACTGTAGGTAATCCATTTGCCAAAAACACCGCCAAACTATTTGCTATGCCCCAAAGATGGCCAAATAATGAACTAGAGTTGCCGCTGGAATAGAGATAGGACTGGACTTGTGATTTCACTGATATGAGGAATTCCTGGAAGAGTAAACCCGTTTTACCAAATCAAGTCAACACTTTCTTTGAAACAGGGTTCAGGAGAGTTGAACACTTGAGCAATTAATTGACTGAGCTCATGTAGCCATTATCTTACAGAAATAAGACACTAGTTGTGTGACTCTGGGCAAGTCACTTAACCCCGAATGCCTCACAGTAAACAAACAAATAAATGTAGTCAAGCAAAACAAATTCTCACGTTGTCCATGTCCAAAAAAATCCATCTCGTTCTGTACCCGAGTCCCTCACCTTTTAGGAATACATGCTGTATCGTCAGCCCCCTGGACTCATGGTTTGTCTTTACAACATTGTTGTAGCAAAGGCTCTCTCAGTTCTACTCCTTTCTCTCAGCATCAGTTCATACAAGTCTGTATTGCCCTTTATAGCAACAGGGGATGTGGAGTCTCAGGTGTGATATGGGTACTCTTCATGAGCCATGATATCACAGTGTCATAGTTTTATTTCTGGCTTGAATTAATAATACTGTCTTAATATTATAATATTTAAATGTTTTTAAAATTTATTTTTATTGATAACTTTTTGTTTTTTCTGTCACTTCCTTCCCATTGTATGAAGTTAGGTTTTTTATTGTTGTTGTTTGCTCGGTTTATTTTGATGAACTGCTTTTCCCCTATGTTTTGTTTTTTGTTAAAATTGTTATCTTAAAGAAAGCAGGTATCTTGCTTATTTGAATTAAATTTTAAAAACTTTGTTGGGAGTCTTCTTTTTACTTTTTGTTTTACAGTGGCAAGGAGAAACAGTCAGGTAGTCTGTGGGGTCCCTTATCCTGCAAGAATGCTTCAGTGCTAAACTCCTCCTCTGTAGACTAGCTATAGGATAAGGAGCTGTTCCTTGCTTCCCTAACATTCCTGTCACTCTTTCTACCCCCCAACAGGAAGGAAAAGGGATTGGTTTAAAATAGAAGATGCCGTAAAAGTGCTGCAGCATCACAAACCCGTGCAGGCCTCATACTTTGAGACCTTGAGGCAAGGCTGCCTGGCGAACAACGGCACCCTGGTTATGGGCACTACATACTCGGTCACCAGTCAGAGCTCGGTGCCAGACATTAGATGACTGAAGACATCCTTCCAAGAAAAACAGAAATTGGAAAATAGACTGAAATCTGGATCTCCTTTCCTCTCCCTGATTCTCTTTTTGCCCTCTCTTCACATGCCTCCTCTTTCAAACAAGGCATGGGCAGCAGCCTAAAACAGAGGAAGTATTCTTTGATAATGTTGCTGTTTGGTATGAAGTGGAGCTTTTTTTCTTTTTCTAAAAAAATCCTCTTTGGGGGGCTGAGGGTGGGATGGGTATGTATTTTGTAAAGTATATTTTGTGCATGATGTGTTCTTTCCCTTAGCACCACCTCTACCCTCTGAAGAGAGCCGGGCAGCTTCTCCTCTGCTTCGCACTCTGAAGCGTTCCTATCTGTCCAGTTCCCATCCTGGCCAGACGTTTCCCTCTTTCTTAAACTAAAAGATACTAATGCAAGGCGATCTCTTCCAGGAGTCTGTCCTGTAATGTGCTGTTCAGACTGTCAGGTTGGTCATGGTCAGTGCACGATGCATTTATATACACATTATATAATTGACATATAATATGTAAATAAATGGTTGGAGAAGGACGTGTTCAAGAGTCTAATTTTGCAGAGTTTCTTTCACTTGGAGTGCTTCAGGAGAGAAGAGAGTTTCTTAAGTAATCTGCCTAATAGGGTTCATCTTTTATTTTTTTTGACAGTCCTAGGCCAGTTTCCCTGTTCATTCTTCAACTTCCCCACCCTTGGTCATTTGCTATGATGACCTGGGTGAGGAAAGAGTTGGACGACTTTCAGACTGCCCCTGGTGCTCACAGCCTTCCGTCTTCTCAGTTGGCGTTGCTACTCTGTCAGAAGAAAACATGAAGAACACTTTGCTTCTTTTTATTACCCAGGCAGGAGGAGCAAGTAGCCCCAGTCTAGATCCAGTGAAAAAGTGATAGAATTGAATCTCAGCCTGCCCTGATGACAATGGGGATTTGAACTTGGAGCTCTTGGGATTAGACTCTGTAAAGACCTGGAATAGCCAGCACCAGTTCTGTCCTGCCAGTTTGAAGTTCTTTCCACAGCCCTATTTGTAGTTGATAAACTCTCTCTTTTTGTCCATATGCCTTATCGTGCTGAACTGGATATTGTATCTGTGCTAAAGCATCCGACCGTGCTTCCCCCAGAGTAGCCACACGTGTTCCTCCTCTTCTGTGCCAGGGCAACCGTGTCGTGTCCCCAAAAAGAAGCATGTGAGGGGAACATTCATGTGCTCACTGTCGTGCTTGTGGTGTAGCAGCATTTATAAATTTACCGTGGAGCATGCTCAGAATATTGTCTCCTCCGATGGATATGGAAGGTACAACTTCTGCCCAGAAGTACTAAGGTAGAGGACTCTTAATCATTTATTAGAATAGCTACATAATGTATTGGCACATTTTAAACTCGTTTATTGGTTTATTGATGTTTCATACTGTCAGTCTTTATTTGCCAGCTGTGTTTAGTTGGGAAATAAAAAGGAAATGGTTGTGAGTTTGTGGGATGGGCGGGGGCAGGGCATTAGTTAATCCCTGGCTTGGGACAGGAGGTTGTTGCTAGGCTCTTAGTAGCATCTCCTTTGTCAGAACATAGCCAAGATGTGAAATTAAATCTGCAGTACTCTTTTATTTAATAATTCTAATAAATACTTAGACTTTCAAAAAGGGTTTTTTTCTTCCCTCCCACTAAAAGAGGAACAAATAAGTCTGGTAGACCTATCAATTTAGTGTCTGACTGGAGAAGAAGGTAGCCAATTTTAGAAGCTCGCAGACAGGAAGATCACAGCAAAGCAAAGCTTTGAACTACAGGGCCAAAAAGCAATACTAGCATTTTTGTCAGAATACACTAATCCCATACTAATTAAGTAGTTTTTATATCCATGGTTCAGGATTTCCAATGGTTTGAAATAGAGCGTTACACTTTGATTCTAAATGTTGAACTCGGTTTCCATGTAACCATTTAGAAATGAATGTACCATCTCTTTTTAAGAAGCCCACCCTCTACTTTAGAGCACTCGAAGGGCCTGCCCAAAAGAGCCAAGAAAAACAAAATCAGATCAAATCATCCAAGACCTAAGTGACATCCCAAGAATGTAAGCCGTCTACCATTGCCTTCCAGATCGATTCTGTCTTTGTTCTATAGATTTGCTGTTTTGAAAATCCTGTGCAGAAAAACAGCTGGTACTCCTGAAAGAGCAGCTAAAGTTTGGTATCAGTAGCATGCAGGCCTTTTTTTAAAAGGCATGTTTAACAATATTTTGAAAATGTTATTACTAGTCTGTTAAATTCAAAATATAAGGATAGAATATTGTTAATGACTGCTGATGACTTTTTTGTTTGGGTCAGGAAAATCAATTGTGCCGAGGAAGTATTTTAACGTAGCATGAATCAGTGCTACTAATGCCCTTAGCTGGAGGGACTTGTTTATAGACTCTTTAACTAAAAAATGGAAGCTTTGTCCAATACCCATAGTTAAAATCAGTGCATTGTTGCACCATGCTTCTAGTGAATGACAGTTTTGTTTTTCCTTTCTGTATCACAAGTTCCATTCCTATCATTTTTAGTATGGATTAGAGATCTCTTGTGATAGAATAGGTGGATTGATTTGATAGATGGATCCATTGACTTTTAATTTCCATAGCCCCATTTCCTCAAAGAAAGCAAGAAACAAGAAAGTGTGTACATATACACAAGCCATCCACATAATATTTAAGAACATACCCTCTTGATTTGGCTCATATTTTAGGAGCCGTGTACGTTGTGTCTATTGAATGAATACCTGTAGAAAAAAGTAAAAATTGTTTTTTTTCTTTTAAAATTTTTTTAAAATTCATATTCCCTTTTTCCCCTTGAAGGTTTGTAAAGATTGCAGTGGGTCTGAGGCTTCATTCATTGGGTGCTAATAAACTATCCCAGCTTTCTTGGAGACAAAGAAGAGAGAGAAGGGAGTATATGTGTTTGTGTGTGTGGTATACCCAATATGAAAGTGCAGTCATTGAATTTACTTTTCCAGAGTCAGATGCCAATACTCTGTTGTACAGAAGATTTACTCACTGTGGCCCTGTGAAGTCAGCAGTAACTGAAATGGATCAAAGGGAGAAGTAACATAAATTTGAGACATGTCAATTTTTCTGAGATTACACATAGTTTTAGAGTAGTTGTTGGTCTGCATAATTTCTGAGGTCACCTCACATTTGCTGCACAGCCCAGCAATAGAATTGTGGTCTCTGTGGCCTTCCTTCTCAACCCCAAGTCCATGGCTAGAAAACACCTCGGGGGAAGTAACATGAATATCAAGTACTTGAGGAGTGTGCTGCAGGAGCTTTGCAATCCTGTTTCTACACAGTCAAGTTCCTCTGTAGTGAAGAAATGTTTTGTCTTTTGATGTCAGAAGTTGGTTAGTAACCCATGCTAGAATCTTTTACTCAGAAGAAGAGAATTAAAAAAAAGACAAGACAAGAATATTTTAGTCCTTGTGGTTTATAAGGAAAAGGGGTAAAAAAATTGTGTAATGGAGACTTTCTTCCTCCTCAGCTCTCCATCCTCTAGGCAAGGTAGTTGTTCAAGGCATCTTTTTGCCTTCTTAAACAGAGCGCCATCAATAGGCACCTTTTAGACCCTAGTATGTATTCTGCTTCCTGTACTGAAAAATTTATAATTTCCATTTAATGCATTGATGCCTCTCTAGAGGTCTGAATGACAGTTTTCCCACACTTCCTTTTCCTTTTAAATCAGTTTATTCTGAGCCATGTTTACTTTTCCAGTTAATAAAGATTTCACAGCCATAATGTGCTCCTTACCTAGCACTGTGGTGTTCCAATACTTCTCTAGGGTTCTTGAAGCCTGAGCTGAGAGTATACTTAGTATGTGCAATAGAATATGTAGTGACTTCCGTAATATCACAATTTTTCTGTGTGTGTGTTTGTAGGGGGAGAGGGCTGAAGACAGAGATGTGGTATAATCAGTAGTGTCCTTTGGTTTGGATTCCATTTGCATTTCAGAAAATAACGTGCATCAAGAGAATAAGCTGGAATACAGAATGATTAACTCAAGTGACTATATTTGGGGAATCTAGCTGTGAAGTGACTTTTTATTTGAAGGTACAGAAGTCAAGTATTTTGGTGTGTCTCTTCTCCCAACTCCCACTCCCATCTTTACCCTCCCCCTCTTTTTTTTTCCCCTTTCCCTCTTTTTTTTCCCCCTTTCCCTCTTTTTTTAATCTCTAAAAAAGGCAAGGGATTGCTTGAAGCTCACATAGTTTTGTCACACTGCCTAACCACATTGACATTCTGTTAATGTAAACCACACGGAGATCAGGCTTGCCCCAGAGAGGCCCGTGAGGCTTGGAAACTGTGAAAGGAGTAGTCTTCCAGAGTTGGGCTGTAGTGCTCACAGATGGATAGCAAGCATATGGACTGAGCTTCATAATATATATGTGCAAGACCAGCTTATTTCAATGTCTGTTAATGGAGAAGAAATCTAAGGAAAAATATGGGTCTTATTTGGCAGTTACTGCTCTGACCTTGAAATTAGAAGCTCTGGGAATCCAGAGAAGCCTCTGAATGGCTTTCCTTTTTCTGGATGCCTCCTCTCAGATATCACCAACAATGGGAGAATATTCTGGGATGGGGGGGGGGAAGAAAGAAAGAAAATGAGAGAATGTTGACTGTAGTGCATGTGTATATTGTATTTAATTGGGGCGGGGGGGGAACTGTTGCTAGGTTGTTTCTATCAAAGCCCAGTTAGTGGAATCAGAAATCTCATCATTTCTTACTGGAGACTGACAGCCTTTAATTCTATTCAGTTAGCCTTTCAGTCTTAATTTTTGGACAAATGCATTCAATTTTTTCACAAAGACTCATCATTTTCTTTAGCCCAGAACCTCCCTGGAGATGTGGGGAACTTGGACTTTTCATCTCTGGCAAAATCATGCATTTCCCATTGAGAAGGACCAAATGCAAGATGTTAATTCACCCCGTTCTGCTTTAAAGAAAAAACCTATGTGGTAGTTTTAGGGCCATTTCATTGGAAGCTCAGCCGCTATTGCAAATAACCATTTAGTTTTAAGCTTGGGGGCTACCATTGATAACATTGATTCGATTAGGATTTCTAAAAAATGAAATTATTTGTATGGGGCAGGGTGGAGAGACTAATCCAACAATTCTAAGTCAGAAATCCACTAATTGACTGATACTATAGGGGATTCTGCTAAAAGGAGAATTTTTTATTTAATAAAAAAAAGATACCATAAGTTACCTGTATGATGGAATTCCTAGGCTACTGTTTGTCAGTGATCAGACATTTAAGTTTTTTTCTCTGATTCATTTTCAACTGAATGTATGTTTTAATTAGCTTTAAATACAAAAGAGTAAGGTGGATATAATTTCATTTTGCTAAGCTTTTCAAATACCTTTTTAATACGCTAATCACATCAAATGCAGATAGAAAGCTATCTATTTAAAAAACAAAACCTTAGGTTGGGGAGCAAAAATATTAGCACAAACTACTAATGTGCTGGTTGTTGATAGACGTTAGCCATGATATTTATTCTGTTCAGAACAATACTTGAGTACAGCTAAGCATTTATCTAGGTATTGAATTCCAGGCTAGTTGATCTGATCATAATCTCTATATGTGCACCTAGAGCCAAGAATGCTTATCACAGCTTAATAGTTTTAACATGTACTCAGAGGATCATTTATTTGCCAGGTGTGTTTCTGGCAACAATTTAAACAGAATTAAGAGGAATTGGGCCAGGAAGGAAGGATACTTGAGTCTCTATGAAAGCTTCTGGAATTTCTTTAAAGAAAACAAGTACTGGGACCTCAAACCACACTATTTTCTGAAGTCTGTGTTGACTCCTGAAGCTTAGGATTTGGTGGCTTAACAATTTATCTAGTGACGTTGCCCTTAAATTCACACTGGAAATAATCCCAGTGAGAATCTTCCTGAGCAGAGTATGCTTAGAGCAACTTTGCCTCACAAGTGGAGTACTGAAGGTTTTCTTTTGCAGAAGGCATTGACTGGGGGTCCATGTTGTCCTATCCAACTTGGCATCCTACAACAGAGTTCTTTTAACTGTATTCTCATTGCTGAGTTGTGTACTTTCTGTTCAAAAGTATAAAGCTGGTTTTTCTCTGTATCTTAGGTGTCCAAGGAATATACAGTGTTACATATACTTATGAGAACCTTTGTTAACATGAGTGATTGGGGTGGGGGGTGGGGGACAAGCAGTTGGGGATGGTTTGGGATAGGGTACAGAAATTTAAGTCTTTAAGGACTAGAAAAATCTATGTAAGTTAACATAGGAACTAACATTGAATTGAACCATTCTTAGAAGATCCTTAGCAAAGAGCAGAGACTTGAAGCAAAAATTAGATCCGTGCTTCCAAAGCCCTGAGGAAAATGAAAATTGAGAGCAAGTTATCTTGTCAGTGGGCAAGAAGCCAGTGTTCTCCCTGAGCCGGTACATGAATAACAAGGCCAAAGAAGGGATGAGCAGCTGTCACTTGGGCAAGAGAATCCAACTTTGTTGCCTTGTTCCACATATCAAGTGGAGCCCCTTTTGCACCAAGGGTTTATCAAGATGTCTATTCCTCTCCAATCTAAAGTGTTCAGAGTTTTTATTTAACATGAGAGCTTGCTTCTGCTCCGCTCATAGACAGGAAAGGCCATTTGTTATCTTGGTCTGTGGAGTTTAAAATCTTCAGAATGTATGTAAATGTGTTATGCTACACTGTACTTAATATAAATGATTAATTTCAGCCCCAGTAGAGTATAGTTAACTGCATGGGATTGTATCATTTATTAATAGACAAAGTGCTTGAAACTCATTTGAAATGGAAAGGATTTGAATGTAGCTTTGTAAAGATATAGGGTCCATTTTATAAGGTCTGAAAATTTCACAGCTGGTTTGTAATCAAAAAAGTCCTGCACCCTTGAATGTGTTTTTGATGGGCCTAATTTCTGGGAGATTTGCCTGTTAAGGTTTGGTTTCTCTAAACTTGGGAGTATTTGTAGGCTCTTTTCAGCTGATAGGTTGAACTCCTAAGGTTATCACAGTTAGCATGTCTTTAGAAGAAAGATGTCCTAGCTGTGTGTAGCACATTGTCTTGTGTTTGAGGAAGTAACTGAGAGTATTTGAGGATGTTGGGAACTATTTTAAAACAAGTATGTGTTAAGCAAGAATCTCTCACATATTCTTGTGTGTCAGAGCTGCAAAAATGGCAGCAAATTAATATCTTTGTGTCTTGCAATTGCCAGCCAATCCATTATTTCAAGTATGTTGTCTCTGTCACCATTGATGGCCTTTTGTAAAGGGTAAGCATGAAGTATTGAAAGTCAAAAGTCAAGTTGCATGCGTTTTACCAGTAATGTGTGGTCTCTCCAAACAGGTTGCTGTCTGTGGAGTAGTTTCTCTGCAGTAGAATACTTGTCACTGTGGATGATATAAATTGTCATTTGCATTATAACACTAGTTCTTTAAAAAAGTGTATCTAGAAATGCCAATTCCACTTTCCTCCATAACAGCATTCAGCATTCCCTCAAGGAAGAAGTGGCCAGATATAAAGGCCACATGTTTCCTTCTTAGATGAATATGAACAGATGTTTCCAGGAGATACCAAGTTGAGGCAAAGAAGCAAAATGTATTGTATCTGTTCTTTTTTTGTCCCCCAAAAGGGCAAAAAAAAACCCTTCCATAATCCTTTCTCTGCCCATCCTCATGTTTTAGTGGAGGGTCACTGTTGTACAAATAACAGCCAAAATTAAGTAATGATTTCAAAACTGAATCTCGGAACCCAAGCCTTCCTCATCCAGAAACCAGCCTTCAAAGATCTTGAAGCTGGTAAGAACCTCTGTTCTAACCCCACAGAGCCAATATCTTAAGACTTTGTTGTTCATTTCAGGCAAGGGGGGGAAATGTTTGGCATGTTAATTATCTTTTTATTATGTACTGCCCATGACACACTTGGGGGGAGGAAGGTATCTCACTTGTGGTCTTGGGACATGTCCAGCCATCCTCAGGGCCAGAGAAGACAAACACCTCTTTGCTAGGGTTGTGTGTTTTGCATCTGTGAAAAGAACAGCTTAAAATTTATAGTCTCAGTTACCTCTAAACAAGGAACATTGAACAAGTGATCCTAAGGAAGAGCTCATTGGACTGTGGAAGCAGAGGAACAGCTGCAGGGCCCTTCGGAGGCCAGAGGATTCTATGCCCTGCACCTCATGCTCTTTATTACTGATTCTGGTTATTGTAATGTTGTAGTTTAAACTCTTCCTTTTCCTCCCATCCCTCCCATTCACATTTTCCCAAAATAACCTTCGTAACACAAAAGTTAGGTGAGCTTTCTGGGGGTCCATTTCTCTTGACTTCTTGTCCTCCACTTGTGGCATTTTAACAGCTTCTAAGGATGTTGGTTTAATCTCTTGGAATGGAACAATTCTGAAGCCTGTCATATGGATATGGAAGGAATTACAGGTTTGGTTTTGTTTTATTTCTTTTTTCAAGGTTTTTTTTTAGGCTTCATTCTTATTCCCACTTCCTTTCCCCCTTGTACTAGGCTTGTCCTTTGCTGGCAAGATTTGGGTTCGATTCAATGTGTAGAGAAATAGGACTGAATAAGAAAGATCATGAAGGCCAGTTTCAAGCTGTGAACAGTGTGTGCATAAACATATGCATGCACACATACACACATACACACATATCCCTTTTCTACCTAAGATGAGGTGGACATGTTTAATATTCTTTCCATAGACTGAGCAATAGAAAGTAAAGCCATCCCTCCCATCTATAGATAAAGCTTTGACACCACCACTAAAAGTCTCCCACCCACATTTTTTAAAAATCCTGATATTAATATGTCTGAATGTGTAGTTCCTTTATATGTTGATCAATTTCCTTCAACTTGAGTTTTGTGTGAAGGAAAGGCATTGGAATTGTAGGTTGTGATCTCGTGCCAACAAATAAACACTGGTATTTCACATACCCTTCTGCCTGGTGTCTGTTCTCATTTCTTACCAGCAGTTTTCCAGTTCCTCACAGTTATTCCTGTTACTGTCTGTCTTGAGTGATCCCTTAGTAGTTGGACCAGCAAAAAAAGGAAGTACCAGTGTGCAAAGTCTGCTTTTCAGCAACTCAAACTGGGAAAGGGCCTTGTTGCTGGTAGCCATCTAATTTGGTCAGGACAAGTGGTCTACTGAGGAGAGGGGCCACAAAGCACATTACTATAAGGCTAGAGTTCAAAAATAGAGAGAGGAATGAGGTCCAGAGTAGCTGAAGATGGTTTCATGAAGAAGGTGGGTCTTAGAAGATGAGTTATGCTTAGATAGGTGGAGAAGGGAGGAAAACAAGGCAAATTACCAAAAGAAAATGAACAGAGAGGGATTTGGATATGGATATTTGTGAAAAAGTGGGAAGAGTACTTTAGGTGGTGTGGAAGATAAAGTTGTATCGTTAAGGTGGGGATAGATTCTGTTGGATCTTGAAAATCAAGAACGGGCATTTAGATAATTGGGAAGAAAAGAAATTTTTTCAACATGACATGGCATCGTGGAACTAAGTTGATTTATCTAACAATGAGCAAGATGGCTTTCATGGAAAGAAGATGGAGAAGGAAATCCAGCTAGAAGACTGTTCATACTTGCTCTAAGGACCTTTCTAATTCTTAAGATTTTTTTTCTCCTTGGGAAAATTGACCTTCCCAAGTTTACACAACAAAGTAGTGGTGGATGTGGAACCTGAACTCAGATCTGACTCTAAATTCACTCCTTCTATTAAGTCCAGTAAGGTCTGGCCCTCCCAGCCCTCTGACCAATTATTAGGCGTTGGTCCAGTCCTGGACAGAGAAGTCGAGTTGGCAGAAGTTAGGTTTGGTGCTTTTGATATTCTCTCACCAGCAGAGAGTTTCCAGTGCCCTCACATTCTCATGGCTGTTCAGACCTCCCTCCCTCCCTCTCTAGTGGTTTGAACATTGTCAAATCAGAGCTCCTTCCCTCATCTGTCCTAAGTTCCCTTCACTCGGGGGAACTGCCTACTACTGAGAACAGTGATCAGCCCAAAACTGAATTAACATAACAGACTTAACTGTTTAGTGACATCTTCATGGAATTTCTGGGCATCACACCTTACAAAAGACATTGATAAACTTCAGATGAAGACGACCAGGATGATGAAGAAAAGTTTATATCTTTATATCATACGAAGACTGGTTGAAGGAATTATCTAGCCTGAAAATACCTGATAATAGTAACTAAAAGGCAAACATGTTGAAGAAGAGTTAGATTTGTTCATTTTGGCCTTAGGGGACAAATAAGAGCAGTGGGTAAAGCTGCTGAGAGGCAGATTTAGGCTTGATGTGGGGGTGGGAGAAGTTAACCAAAAGAATGGACTGTTTTAAGAGATGGTGGGTTTCTTCTCATTGGAAGCAAGATAGTCGTTTGTTGAGGTAGTGGGGATTCTTTTGGGAGTGTGGGTTGGACTAACTGGTACCTTTCAGCTCTGAAATTCTCTGATTTCAAGCATAGGGGTTTGGGGTTTTGGTTACTAGCAATAGAAATAGAGAAGGGCCAGGTGCAAGAAAAACTGAAGGATCAGGACAGTGCTAAGGGTTACTATTTGAATGAAGGAAAGAGTTAACGATGACTTCAAGATTTTGAGCCAGTAAATGGGAAAATAGTGATGTAATTGGCAGAGGAAACCATTCCAAGGGTAGCATGGGTACTGTTTAGAGTACCAGGAGTGGGGAACCTTCAGCCTCAAGGCGACCTTGGGGATTTGTTCTGTGAAGTTAGGATTCCCATAGTGCCTTCCCTGCCATGCACGTCAAGGACAGAAAAGGCCAGATGGGGCTGATGACTTCTGCCCTAAGTTTCCCCCTTGTTCCTGCCTTTGTTATACATTCCTGCCAGAAACAAAATCTCTTGTCTCCCTACATATGCATAGGAGACACATAATTGGAAGAGCTTGTATTTTGCCTTACTCTGTCATGCTTTTTTGTAGCCCATTTTAAGACTCTGGTATTCCTTTTCCCAACACCCATTTTCATTGTTGCATCTAGTCCCCAGAGGTCTGGGTAGCTTACATCAGCTCCTCAGGATTTCTTAGGTTATCCCCTGAGGGATTTGGGGCATGTCTTTCTAATGCTCTCAGCTCAAGCTCCAATTCCTATATGTGTTCCCCCAATTTTAAATATCCAGTACTAGTTAATCTCCTCAATGTCTCTGTGTTAGTGATTAACATCTCACTATGTAGTAGCTTTTTTTTTTTTTGGTGAGGCAATTGGGATTTAAGTGACTTGCCCAGAGTCACACAGTGTGGTTAGCTTTTACCAAGGATATTTACTGAAAAGAGAGGACAAAAACTAAACTGGGTCACACCCTCCCCTCTACACCTTGGTCTAAGAGTAGTCTCAGACTTAAAGTGGTAAACTGCATTCTTCCCCTAGTCAGATTACTTCTCAGTGCAGCACAGCTCATGAATAAGTTGCACCCTTACAACGTGTAGTGTCTCAGGTGCTAGGTCAGTCCACTTCTGGCTTAGGTTGATTGAGCCATTCATCACTGTCCAGTACTTCTTCACTTAAGAAAAGGAAAGAATAAATGTAACAGGGACAGAAAAATTTGTACCATGCACTCATAGTTTCAAGTCAGACCTACCTCTCTCTCCCCACCTGGAGGTTTACAGCAGTTTTTATCTTCATTATCACCAGATAAAAGACATGGTTTTAGTGCATTTTATACACTCTCCCAGTTCCTGCCACCATGCATCGAGGCCATCTCCAGTCATCCTGATCTATATCTTGCCCACTGGACCTAGATGGTTCTGGAGGAGAAAGTGAGGCTGGTGCAAAGGCATAGCCTTCCTTCACTTAAATGCAATTTATTTGCAAAGCCTGGCATCACCTTTCTGATGTCATGGTCCTCTTCAAGAACAGAGGAAAAACAAACAGCAGTACATGAATAGGAAATAGTCACATAATACCTGTGCATATTCTGAAATGGAGAACTGGACCCTTCCATTTTGTATCATTATCCATTCTTGAGAAGCAAGTTTCTCAAGCATCCAGAAGGGTCCCTTGCACATGTTCCCAGGACTGGGCCCTCATTGCCCAAACTCCTGTTACATTACAAACAGTAAGCAAAGCAGGATTTTGTTTTCTGTATACCTATCAATCATACGACTCCGAAGATGTGGTCTGCTGGGAAGTCTCTGATCTCATTTCAACAATCTGTAAGGAATGTGTTCAAATTTATAAGAATGAGAGTGTTTTCCTAGTTGATAAGGGGTCAAAAGATATTACAGTCAGTTTTCAGGGAAAGAAATTCAAGCTATGTATAGCCATATGAAAAAGTGCCCCAAAATCACTAATAATTAGAAAAATACGAATTAAAGCTGCTCATATACATCCAATTGGCAAAGCTGAAAAAAGAATGAAATGACAAATGTTGGAGTGGCTATGGGAAAACAAACATTTAACATTGTTGGTGGATTTATGAATTGATGTAGCTATTCTTTTTTTTTTTTGAGTAGGCAGTGGGGTTAAGTGAGTTGCCCATGGTCACACAGCCAGTAAGTGTTATATGTCTGAGGCCGGATTTGAACTCAGGGCTCCTGACTCCACGGCCGGTGCTCTATCCACTGCACCACCCAGCTGCCCCAGATGTAGCTATTCTTAAAAGTAATTTGGAACTATACCCCAGAAGTCCTGAACTGTACATACCCTTTGGCCCAAAGGCATCACTACTAGGCTTCTACCTCCAAGGAGATGAAAGAAAGAGGAAAAGGTCCCTCGTGTACAAAAATATTTATAGCAGTTCTTTTTATTGTAGCAAAGACCTGGAAGCTAAGGGGCATCCACCAATTGGGGAATAATTGAACAAATGCTGTATGAACATAATGGAATCATGTCATACTATATAAGAAACAACAAAGAGAATGGTTTCAGAAAAACATGGGAAGATTTGTATAAACTACTGCAGACTGGAGGGAGCAGAGCCAAGAGAAGAATTTATACTAGAACAACATTGTAACAACCAACAACTTTGAAAGAACTGATAAATATAACAAGGCAACATTGGGCTAAGAGTCGGGAAATCCAGCCTCAAATACTCATTTCATGGTCCAGGCAAGTTATCATAACCTGTCCTTAGCCTCAGGTTTCCTCATCTGCAAGTTAATGATGATAACATCTACCTCTTAGGATTCCTGTGAAGATAAAATGAGAGAATATTTTATAAATGTTACCTGCCTCCTGATATAGAGAGAATGGATTAAATATGCAGAATGAGGCACAGTTTAGGGACATGGCCAGTATGTCTTTTTTTTTTTTTGGCTTTACTATGTACTTTGTTCCAAGGGTTTATGGGGAGGGGCAGGGGAGGTGGTAGAGAGAGAAAATAAATCTTTTGTTAATTGAAAAAAAATTTTAATTAAAAAAAAGATGTAGTTTACTAGAATCAGAAAGTCCTCCCTGTTCTTTTCTCTTATTTTGGTCTAGAACATTCTCATTGTATCTTATCCTGAGCTGAACAGGTAATCAAGCAAGAAGAAAAAGGGCCAGATCATATTTGGAAAACTACAGTGCTTTCAATGACCCTGAGTTGCTTCCTAACACAGTTTCCTGTTTCCTGTTTATCCTTCTACATAGCTTATTTTACGTATTTGTTTGCTTGTTGTGATTAGACAGGAAGCTCCTTTAGGGCAGGGACTGTCTTTTACCTTTCTTTGAATCCCCAGTGCTTAGCTTAGTGCCTGGCACATAGTAGGAGCTTAATAAATGCATACTGGCTGATTGATCTTTACATACTATTATTCTCCTGAAGACTAACACAGCCTTTGAAAATATAAAAAACAACAGGAAACTGGAAGGGAAATGAAGGAACCCATAGTGGGGATGATACACCGCAGCCTAAATTACCAACATGACTCACAAACAAGATGGGACATGAAAAATATATACTCAGGAAGTAAGGTGGGCTAGTCATGTG